CACGTAAACAAAAACAACTCTTAAAACGTCGGTATCTCTGTACTCGACAAATCTCAAAACTCTTAAAAAAAACACGTGGGGGCATCACTCTCCCCATCATATTCCGTACTCATAAACTCATTAAAACTCCATCAAACTTAACAAAACTCCAAAACACTGTGTTGCAAATACTTGTCCACTGAAACGCGCTTAAATCGTTATAAAGGACCTCGAACGTCACTAAATATCAGTTCAAAACAAAGATCTGGGCGCTTACATACATACAATTCGACATCACAGAAAAACGGTAAAAACAATAGAAAAAAACCAGCAATACATTACATTACTGAGCAATAGTGTTGGGATTGTGGAAAAGAGTTCAACGTCCTTGAGTTACACAGTGTCAGTTTCAGTGTCCAGCGAGCAGTTCTCTAAGCAATACACAGATAGCTAAAGTCAAAGTCTATAAGCGTCTCTTCTCTTGTCATCGCGTTAGTCCGGGTCGTTCTTTCATCTTCTTGTCTTTAATGTCGCTCAATTCTTAATTATACAGTCCTATCCGGTACTGGTCCTTCCGAAGGGGTTCTGAAATCTTCATCTCTTCAGCGTTGTACATCGGTGCCATACTGGTAACGGTGTTAGTGGTCGAGCGCGGTTTCGTCTCTGCCATCGAGCCAGTTAGTTCGGTTCGCAAGAAAGACACACCTTCGCCATTTCACTTCTCTTCACAGGATGTCAATGTGTGTTAAACACCTGCCCGGGATCTCCACTCACGTATCAGGGGTAAAATCTCCTTCTCTCGGGTTCTCCACCACGTATCAGGGGGATAATTCTTCTCTCGGGGTCTCCACACTTGCCAGGGGGGAAACTCGTCTCGTCTCTCTATCTCGTCCCCTTGAGGTACGGGATCGGGAAAGTCACGTTAACTTTACAGTCAAATAAGACACACACAATGAAATACGTTTCAGCTCTCGTCTTAGTCGATCTTTTGGAGCACTCTATAAGACACAGCGCCCTGGGGAAAAGTCCCCAAGACTATATCGCAAGGCTGA